GGTTCAGAAGTCAGCCAAGTATAGTTCAAGATAGGCTATCTGTCAGGGGTTCCATTTTGGGATCCCTCTTTTCCTGTGGGTAAGGACTTCTACCGGGTTTGTGAGCATGTTAGTACGTACTGGTGTATGTAAGGAAACTATAGCCTTACCGGTTTAGGGAGAAGGGTTTAGGGTTTTTTGGGGGGACATCCTGAACAATAAGAAAGAAGGTAACCTTGCTTTTGAGGAGTCATTGGGTGGTCTAGACAAAACTGTAAATGCGTAGTTCGTTTTCGAGACCTTCGCATTCATACGGCCACTGACTTGTAGTTGAAAGAGGGACGGTGCAAGGCAACGGTTTACATTCGGACCCACACGTTGGAATGAGGAGAGCATGAACGAGAATGGTACATCTTGTTCGTCGATGGCTTCGATACTTCAACTTTATGAGTGCATTAACCTGGCCACTAATCATCACCGACAAAACAACCCGAAAGAATCTGGAAACGTTCAACACACGACCTGAGATTGTCCCCAAGTATTCCTTAACCCCATACCATGTTCTGAGCCCCAACACCTACAGGGTTTTATGGGGGTGCGGGGTTACTGGGTCGTGGATTTTGGGTTGAGGGTTGGGGTTACTGGCTCAGTGTTCTCAACCTATTGAAGGTTCGTGGGTAGTTGACTCCTGCTCCCCTCTGGGGAGAACCTATCATAGAACCCCGTAGTTCCCTAAAAAGGAAGCCTATTATAGTATAGAACCCCATAGTACCCTTAAAGGATTCCTTACGGACAGTTGTTGTTTGGATAGTAGTTCAAGGTGCCTTGAGCTTGTGTACCAGCTGTGTTTTCAGCGGCGTTGAACTTATTTTCCGCGTCTGCTGTGGCTTTCTCGTATGCAAGTTATCTGATTAGATGTTGGTTGAGGTTTATCGGCCTTCCCAGACCATTCGGGTTCAATGTTCAATGTTGTTTCTGCAGGTATTTACTTCAGGACTTTTGATGGTTGTTCCAGTACCGTTCAGAGCGCCATGGTCCGATAGAGTGGCTGCTTTTTGGAAGCGCGAGGTGCTGGGCGGCTCAGCTGATGCTGTGTTGCTGCACGTTGAGAAAGTTTAATAAACTTGGTGCATTAATAAATCTCATGAGATACACAAACACAACCTTTATGAGACTTGTACAGACACCAATGTTTGCACATGCAGACCGCACTGACACTTGTCCAGCTATTCCTTGGGACGCTGTTGTAGCAAGAACAGCTTGGACATGCAGGCGGCTCCAAAAAATGGACGATAGTGAGCATCTAGTCAATGAGCTTCTCTCTACCCATTTCACCTTTCTCATCTGCCGCACTACCCCACCCAGACTGCTGCAGTGCCTTCAACTAGGTTCAAGCCCGCCTGCCCTGAGCCCGGTCACTGCTATTATGGACGTCTGCCTGATCCACGTCCAATGCGGAATGAGCGGCGCGGCGCACGAACATTCCACCGTAGCAATTGAACGCATGAACAACAAGTGTTGGAGTCTTGGACGCCATGTTTCAGATGGCTGACCATCACATTGGACACCGGTCACTGTGGTGATGCTGCTGGAGCATGTAAGAAACGTCCCGCGCGTCCGGCATGCGGGTGCCTTTTCTGAATCATAAGGCATGCAGATAAGATACATGTAACACTGCAACACCACGAGTTCAGGTCGCAGGAAAGCGTACCCAGCCAAGTCGAGTAGCTGTTGACTGTCCTGTGCCGTTCTTAGCTCCCAGTGGTACCTGTGCATGTCATCAGCAATGCGGTTCTCCAATGTGCCGTCCTTGATAGAGACCTTGTCTGTCGCTACATTCAGGTCGACAGCCACAGAGAGCGTAACATGAGGCATCAAACAGTTGATGATCATCAATAAAACGAGTCGGGCACACACTTGGGTCAGGATTGAGGGATCGCTAATGCTCCCAATTAGGGTTTAGGGTTTAGCTGCATCGAAGGGCTGCCACCACATGCCAGTTAGGACACGATCATCACATTTGTTTGCATGGGATATTGCGTGTGCTGGGGCCTATCCGCCGTGTACGTTACACCGTATCAGCCGCCAACTATATCCGGTCGGCGAACTGCACTGCACCGTTGATACCCGGCCAAAATTGTGCTTTCAGGAAACCGAAGAAAACCAAACTCTCCACGGTAAAACTGCTGGTAGCGCGTAGAACACACAAGCTTCAGGCACCTCACAACCAAAACCGCAAAGGACATGAGACGTGAGTTCATGCGTCCGTCGAGTTGAAATCAGTAGCAGCAAATCAAACAGTGGTGGAAGTATTGTGAAAGTTGCTGATGTACGATTCATTGAAGCTCCGGCTAGGTACTGCAAGGTTGGATTTCCTACCGTGGGCCAACCTCCACTGTTCAGCATCCCGGCATTCAGAGGAATTGGTGTGTTGTAAGTTCTGCATATCGCGGCTTCGGACTTGGCATTCGCTCTCTTGCCACTTCGTTTTTCATTGCACCTGACGTGATAACGGGAGTTGTAAAAGCAATCGGGCTGAAGATGCGGCTGTTCGCAGCGAACTTTTCCAGAATCAGATTTTCAATATTTCCATTCTGAAATCCTATAGCAACTCCTGGCGCATTATATTGCATTTTGTTTGAATTTTAGCATGCAATCTTCAGTTTTGTGGTAGCATACTTTAAATATGTTGCATGTTGTTTACCTCCCAAAACCACCAATACATCACCAACACATGTACAGGTACACCCACTTATAACTCTGGACCCTAAACCCTCAAAAATACCTTCCTAAGCCTTATCCCTTGACATTTACAGGTTTGGGCTTTACGTGTTAGGAGACTTCGGAGTTCGGGAGTTCAAGATTGCACTGCGGTGCTAGGGTTTAGGCCTTAGGTTCTTAAATTAGAGGTTTCTTACGTAGAGGTCTTTACCTGAGGTTTATTCAGTAAGGTGTTGTACAACTTTAACAAGGGTTTTCTGATTCTTTCCAGGGGCTTCGTCAAAACACATCCTGTTACTTAGGGGCCACTGGCAAGATCCCTGAACCCTAAAGTTTTAAACTTCAGAACCCTATCAAGTTCGCATAAATCTAAACTTGAAGCACCAAAACCCACGCAACTCCCAGGTGGGCCTGCGACCGTGGATGGGGCCAGACCTGGACATACTCCCCAAGCACAGGCGCGTGCAAAGCGAACAGACTCTAAAGCCCTGTTATCGAGGTATATCATGCCTTACTTGGTTCATGGGACTTTGGTTTAGTTATAAGTACCCTAATTGGGGCTATATTCAACTATCAGTATTGTTACCTTATTTGTAACCCCAGTCCCATGATCCTTTAGGTATGCCTTACATCATCGGAAGGACACTTTAAGACATATTCCAAGCGTATGTTGTAAGGTCTAGTCTTTGATTAACGGGTTTCGGAGTTTCTGAGATCCAGGAACACGAAGATCAAGGCTGTTTCTTGCTATCATAGTTAAGAGGTGTTCGAATCAAAAGTGGGAGCTATGGTGGTGAGGCGATAGGCACTGTTGTGGAGCGCTTGAAGCATTGACAGAAGACCGCGCGGCAAAGCCCAGCAAAATATTCAGCAGATTCCAAACATGTTTCTTGCACAGCATGTGCTCATTTCCCTCTTAATTTTGTGGTTCTCAATATTGGTAAAGTAGTAAGTAGCAAGTACTGGCAGTATCCCGTCGACACGGTTGACAACTATGTTGAACGAGCTTTCCAGCCAATGCGATGGTTTTCCTCAGGGCTCCAATCCTACAGGCCTAAACCTGAACCTAAACCCTAACCCCTAGAAGCCCAAACCCTAAACCTTAAANNNNCTAAACCCTAAACCCAAATCCTCAAGGCATGTTCCGGCTGAATGGTGGCTTCAACCAGGGAATGTGCCTGGAGCAGCTGCAGCTCGGCCCTGCAAAAGCTCGGTTTTCTGAGACTCCAATACCCCTTAATTAA